ATCAGCCGCCTCAGCAGCAGCAGCACCAGCCTCCAGCTCCCCAGCAGCTGCAACAGCAGCATCCGCAACAGCAGCAACAACAGCAGCAGCAACAGCAGCAGCAGCAGCAGCAGCAGAAGCAGCGCCGGTGCAAAATAGAGTGCCCTTCTGGGGGCGTTAGGGTCTGCGGCAGCGACGGCCAGACGTATGCTAATGAGTGTGAGCTCACTGCGTATGCTTGTCTGCAGCAGCAAACAATTCTCGTCCAGCATATGGGTCCTTGTCAGAAACCTGCTGCTGCTGCTGCTGCTGCTGCTGCTGCTGGTGCAGCTGGGGGGACTGCTGCAGCAAGTACAAAAACAAATAAAGAACAACACACAGCAGCTGCTGCTGCAGCTGACAGCAGCAAACACAGCAACAAAACAAAACGTGAAGACTGAGAATCAAGCAGAATGTTTATCCTCAATCAGCAGCAGCAGCGTGTTAGTGTAAAGGGCCCTTTACACTAACACGCTGCTGCTTCTGCTGCTGCTGCTGCTGCTGCTGCTGCTGCTGTTAGTATTGCTGCTAGAGCCAGCCCCTGTGATGCTGACACCTCCACAGTAGCACCACCACCACCAACAGCAGCAGCAGCAGCAGCAGCAGCAGCAGCAGCAAGAATACAAATAAGAAGAAGTTACTTTACTAGACCTCATTCAGCTCTACACCGAACAAGCACAGTTCACGCCCAGCAGCAGCAGCAGCAGCAGCAACAGCAGCAGCAGCAGCAACTAAACTTTCTGCTGCCCTAGGGAGAACCTGCAGCGGCCACACTGGTAAATATCATGCGTAGCTGCGCTGCAGCTGCAACGGCTGCTGCTGCTGCAGCTGCAACGGCTGCTGCTGCTGCAGCAGCAAGGGCCGCTCCGAAAGCAGCAGCAGCAGCGCAACAACAGGAGCAGCATCAGCTGCAGTTGCAGCCGTCGCGGCAACTGCAGCTGCAGTAGCTCTACCTTTAACAGCAGCAGCAGCAGCTGCTGCTGTTGCTGCAGCTGTCGCTGCTGCTGCTGCTGCTGCTGCTGCTCATGATGCGCTCCATGCAACTTTTGAATATCAGGGATGCGCAGATTTCTCTCAGTGCAATTTTTTAGCGGAGAGAAAACCAATGGGGGTGGGGTGTATCGACACACAGACAGAAAAAGATGCACGTGCTATACATATCTGTACATTCATATATATATATATATATATATATATA